TTCTTAGTATGTGAAAGATCACGCATAGGTTTTGTTATACGTTTTCTCCCCCTTCCCAATGTGTTAATGTGGGTTGCATGTGCTTGCTATGTGTTATGTGTGCATGACACCCCAATTTGGTTGCGATCAAATTGGTTATACGGGCAGTTGGATGGGTTGAGAACCATACTGACTGTTAACCAGGCCGGTTGCGATCGGTCAGGTATATAAATATTATATAGGGCTACGGTGCACCGTTTGGTTGCGATCAGACGTTTCTACATGAGCTGCGGTTCATATTTCCTGGCTACGGTCAGATGACATACTCTTGGGCTGCGGTCCACTGTTTGGTTGCGATCAAACTATGATGAGCTGCGGTTCATCGGTCAGTTGCGATCGACCCCTCCGTGTTGCGATACGGGGCAGGGTGCTGCCGGGCCGTGTCAGAGCTATATGCGCTGACCCTCATGTATGGGCATGCGATTGGTCCTGCGGCGCCAACAAAGTGTGCTATGTGATGAGATATGGATGAGTTGTTGTTATGACTGTCTTGGGATGTGACTTTGGGATTTATGCCGGGAATCGTACATGTTGGGTTATGGATATTAACTGTGCTTATCTTTATCTGCCTTGCCTGTTTCCCTATGCTTATGAATTGTATATGCTTGATTATGACCGTTGTCTGTGCTAAGCTCTATCTGTTGAGTCCATTCCCTATTTTGAAAGCTAGAGTCTCCTAGGATATATCTTCATGCTTCGAAATGGTTTTTCGTATAACCATGTATATATCTATATGTATTGTATTTCAACGCGTTGGAGTGGGTTACCAGCATCTCTCGCTGAACAAATATATTTGGCTTTCAGGCACAGAAGAGTAGACACTGGAGCGCGCTAGAATCGTGGAGCATAGAAGTAGATAGTTTCCCTTTCGGCCTGCGTGCCACGGTTATGCATTCACTTTGTTAAGGATATTAGTTAGTTAGCCTGTGCACCTTAGTTCTCTAGCTCAGGTGTGGCATAGCACCCCGTACTCTTTATATTATGTTTTGGGATTTAATGAGATTTTACCTTCTTTATATAAGTTTCAAAAGTTTCGAAAATCTGGGGTGTTACATCCACAAGTTGGGATGAGGGCACCACCAAAGATAGGGACTAGTGCAAGGAGCCCAAGGCAGCAACTAAGGCTGAAGTGAAGGAACACGTCATGGAGGGAGCTCGAACCCGTTCATGACGTGACCATCGATGAGAATATTGATCTTACCTCAACCAACTGTTAAGGGCCCACAGGCCAAGTAGCGGCCCTAGACCAAATAGCAACGCTTTGGCGAGCTTACAAGCAGCCCTGAGAGGTAAGAAAAAATATTTCTATATTGGAAAAAACATTAACGTATATTTTTTGTTGGGCTTGCAGGCTAGGCGTGTTACCAAAAAATAAAAAAGGACGTGGTAGTGAACTCATAAACAGGATAAGTGGTCCTGACGCGAGTTGGAAGTTCCGTGGTCAGTAAACAATAGCACCCAATTGGGCTCGTAGGCTGGGTAGGTAGCCCGTGGAGATAATAAAATAATTTTCAGCTTCATTTTGTACCAGTGCCCCTAGGCTCGGAAAGCACGGCAAGCGGCCTAGGGAAAATGGTGATTAGATTCGCAAGCAACCTGAGAAGGTAATAAAAAATTATTATTTTCTAACTACTCTTCACCCCCTTTCATTTTCAGTATTGGGCTCGCAACGCAGGGTAGGACGGCCCAATAGGAAAAAAAACATAAAGAAAAAAAGTTGGTCCGCTCCCACATCTCGTACGGAGATCGCAAGGTAGGCGGACCGTACGCATCTTCACCCGGGCCAATAGGACGCGATCCTCAACCTGGCATGCAAATGTTCATTTGGGCCTGCAAGGGCAAGGTACACATCCCAATGTGAAAAAAAAAAAAAAAAACAAGGTCAGTGCACTATCCCGCTTCTCAGCGGTCGACTAATTATTTATCCCGCTTCTCAGTGGTCGATATGTATCTATCCTGCTTCTCAGCGGTCAACATGTTTCTATCTCGCTTCTCAGTGGTCGACATGTATCTATCCCGCTTCTCAGCGGTCGACATGTTTCTATCTCGCTTCTCAGCGGCCGATATATTATCTATCCTGCTTCTCAGCGGTCGACTTATTATTAGGACTTCTATGATGCCCCACATGGGGAAAGAGGAAGGTCTATAGCCGACTATATGATACCGGAGTTCTCAATGCACAACTCCATTTGTGTTCCACCCTTGGAGAATATAAACTTCCACAGTCACCCGGTGATTTTTAGTTTAGTGCAAAGCAATCCATTTGGAGGATCAATCTCGGAGGATCCACATACGCATATCACCCGTTTCATAAGGAGTCTCATACGAGATAGTGAGACTCAAACTATTCCCATTTTCGCTAGTTAGAGAAGCCTTGTGTAACACCCCGTGTTATGGTCTTCAAATTCAGATTAATTATTGAATTAATCATGTTAACAAACGGTTAAAAGGGGATTTAATTTGTTTAGAATTCCCCTAATTAATTAGTACGGTCCACCATGGATCATGGACCCTTGTCTATACTAAAGACTTTAAGTTGGATAAGAACAAGGAGAGTAGATCTTCTACCATCCAGATTCTAATTAAGACTCCCTAACTCTATAAATAGGGGATTAGGAAACAATTAGAACCCTCTCACCTATCATAACTTTATTACACAAAATTCCCCAAAGAATCCTAGCAAAAGGGATTCCCCACCACCAAGCCTAGGAAGATCAATCGACGGAGAATCTTAGAGAAGAACCTTAGTAGCCAAGGGAAAATTGATTAAGGCTAAGAGGTAACCCATGTATTACAAAACCTACTTTCCTTGCTATCTTTTATTGATTGGCTCCGTTGAACGATTGAAAGTATGACTTTTATTTGTGCTTCGTTAGAGCTTGTCTTTAGGAATTTGTGATATGGATTATTGTTATTTTTTATATTCTCGATGGCCCTGTGTGGTCTTGGTATGCTCTTGTATTTAATTATGTTTAGAGCTTGTCCTTAGGGTTTATATTGTAAATCTTGTTGTTGTGATGTTCTTGGTGTTCTTGGGTGGGTTTATGCATGCTCGGATGTTGATTCAAGGTTAAGGCTTGTTTTTAGGGCTTGCACATAGATTTCTTGATGATATTGAGTTTCTTGATGCTCTTGGACCGTTATGTGTTTACTCTCGAGTCTTGACATGTTTAGGGATTGTGTTTAGGGTATAATCGTGGTGTTTCTTGGTTTAATTCTTGTTATTTGAGTGCACATTGTGGTTGATATGTATTGGGATGTGTTTGGACTTGATTTTGGGTTTAATTGATGAATTCCTGAAGGGGAAAAGTGCCAAGTTACCATCGTACCAGCGGGAGGTCGGTGGGGGGACGAATCCCCACCTGACCACCCGCCGGGTACCGCCCACCGTAACAGCGGGTGGATGACCACCCGCCGTGTACCCGCTAGTACAGTACCGCCCACCGGCGGGTGGAAGGCGGGTGGTCACCCACCTGCCGTACCATCAGCTGGTACGGGCGGGGCGGGATACTGTTTTACCTCGTTTGTTGTTTCCACGTGCCCCGTTTGGTGTTGATGAGTCTCGTGTGATGTTTCAGGTAACGTTTTAAGAGTTGTGTGTCGTGGTTATTGTTATTGTTGAGCTTTGATTGTTGTTGTTGTTGTTGAGGATTGACTATTGTTGTTGATTGAGTGTTGTTGGTTGTTGTTATCACTGAGTATTGGTTGTTGTGGTTGATTTGTCCATGATGAGAAAAGATATGTGATTGGTGAAAAAGATTTGTTGGCGGTCTAGCACAACGAGTGCTCGGTCATTGTGTTATAGGCACAGACCACCCTTGATTAGTTTACTAAAGGCATAGATCAAGTTATAAGCGCTGCGGTGCCATGTCATGTGCTATAGGCACTGACCCCTTGATTATAGTACTATAGGCACGGGTCATGCAAATGGTACTACGGTGCTACCATGTCGGTGGTTTTGTTGGTGGTACGTCGGTGGGGAGCATGCGTGCTCCGGAGGGATATGGGAGGCGTTATAAGGGTGGCTTGGAGGTACATGTTGGAACTGATATAAGGATGGAGAGGAGTAAAGATTGGAACTTGGTATAAGGTTGGATCATGGATGTACTCCCTGTTGACTGCTTGTTGTTATTAATTGTTGTTGAACAACATTGTTGCCGTTGCTTGTTATTATTGAGCTTTGTTATTATCTTATCTTGCGGGCTTAGGATGCATGCTAGTATCTTTATGGTGTTCATAGTGTCAGCTTGTGGTTGTGTCTTGAGTCTTGATCTTGGTTTTAAAGCTAGCGTTGTTGAGGATTATATATGTATTCCAGTCTCAAAATGATTTCCTGTACTTATACTTATTGTACTCAATAGGTGGGAGTGGGTTACTCAGCATTATTCGCTAACGGTTGTTACACCATATGTTTTTCAGGTGCAGATCAGTAGTTTCGGAGTGCGCCAGATGGACGCGAGGACTTAGCTTAGATATTTTTAGTCTTGGTAGATGGCCTGCGTGCCTTGGCTTGTATTTTGGATATTAAACTTGAATTATGTTCTGTTTAGTTAGTTAGCATGTGCATCTAAGTTCTCAAGCTTGGATGTGGCATAGCACCCCGACTTTTATTGTGTAGTCTCTGCTCTGTTTGGAATATTAATGTTAGATTGCCTTTATTTCATAAGCTTAAAAGTTTTAAAAATTAGGGGTGTTACACCTTGAGATGGCTAGACGCGCAAGACAATAATAACTTTCGGTCATGGGGGCAACTACACAAAGAATTCGTGAACGAATTCTTCTCACTCACCAAAACAATAAAGATTAGGAAGCAAGTCCAAGAATTTAAGCAAGGTTCGCTTGAAAGTATTGGTGAAGCGTGGAAGAGGTTCAAGTCCCGACGAAGACAATGCCCGCTCGACCTACTTCATCCATGGGACGTGTTTAGTTCTTTCTATGGAGGTTTAACGAATGAAGGAAAAATGTTATTAGATTCATCATCCAGTGGAGCTTTTGTTTCATCTTCTCCGGCGGATGCCGAAGCCCTTATAGAGCGAATTTCGTCCAACACTTCATTTTGGTACAACAAAAGGGATTCTAGACCCAGTATGCACGAAGTCAAGGAGAGTGTAGCTCAAGAAGCGAAGGTTGAAGCTATCACTCAAGAAATTAAGATATTGCAAGCCGTTGTGGAGAAACTTGAAGCCAAAGCTCAACCGTGTATGGCATTGGCTTTGTATTACAACGTATGTGGCGGACCTCATGACACCAACATATGCAAATCTTCCATCAACATCGAAGAGGTTGAAGTGGTGAATTATCAACAACCCCCGAAACAAATGGTTGGGGAAATGAAAATTGGAAGCAAGGCAATGGTTGGTAAAATTCGAACTACCAAGGAAGTCCTCAAGGGAAACATACTTATGGCCCGGGAGCGGAAAGAGGTTGACTTACTTATGGCCCTCAATACAATCAAGGAACATCAAATGCTCTTTACCGACCCCCGATGGCACCTCAAGGATATTTGACATAGCAAAGGAATGAAGCAAGAGATGTAGAGGAAAGGTTGACAAAGGCAATCAATGACTTGAAGAGAGATCAAGGATTCTTGAGGCAAGAAATTACTCAAGAAATTAGACAAGAGATTGCCACGGTGAGGCAAGAATATGCAACATCCATGAAAAACATAGAAACTCAAGTGGCTCAAATGTTCCGGATGATGTCGAAACGGCCATGGGGAGCCTTCTCTAGCTCAACCGAGAACAACCCTAAGGAACGAGTTAATGCCGTTATGATTGTGAGTCCGGAGGACGTGAGAAAAGACGCTATGGAATGGATTTGTGACAATTCTTGTGGAGAAAAGCTAAAGGGAAATGAGATCACCTCTTGTGATCCATTGAAAGAAGAGGGAAAGAAGGACACCTCTTGTGCCCTAAAGAAGTACTTGAAAGAAGTCAAACCACCAAAGAGAAAACCGCAAACGTCTTCAAAAACAAAAATGACCAACGCGCAAGCATTGGAAAAGAAAGGGAGGTAAACTCAATTCTTAATACTCTTCATTGTGCTTGTCTTGTGAATGAAGATTTTGATAGTGATTATGCAGAGGGTGCACCTCAAGTCTATTTAGGAGAGGAGGCACCGGCCTTAATCCACAAGGGATGCACTAAGAAAAAGGGGGATCCCGGAGCATTCGTTGTTAATTGTGCTATCAAAGATTGTGGATTTCAGAATGCTTTGGCCAACCTTGGAGCCTCTATAAACATCATGCCTTCCCATGTGTTTAATCGGCTCAAGTTTCCATATATTTCTCCTACACCGCTCACGGTTCGGTTAGCCAACGGGACCGTAAGGTACCCACGAGGGGTGGCGGATGATGTGCTTGTAAAGATAGGTGTAAACCTTGTGCTGGTAGATTTTGTAATCATTGATGTAGGAGAAAATCTTGATGTGCCTTTGATTCTCGGAAGACCTTTCTTGGCTACTTGTCATGCTCTCATAGACGTGAGCACGGACAAGTTAACTTTGAGAATAAATGATGAAGAACCGAGTGGGATGCAAAAGGTGCAAAAGGAGAGTGTTTGTGTCGTGAAGAAAAAAAGTGAAGGTGAAGGCCAAAATCAAACCATGGTGGACGATCGAGAAAGTATCTTGACTACCTAAGTGCCTCAAGACGAATGGCTTCGAAGGAACGTGAAAGGAAGACACATCCGTCTAGCTAAGGACAGTAAATGTGGCGCTACTTGGGAGGCAATCCAAACTTTACTTTCATTGCGTTTGTTTTTGTTTGTTTGAATAAAAGAGCAAGTGTGAATTGAATCCATAGTTTTTGTTTTTGTTTGGGAAGTTTTGGACTAATTTTGCAGAGATAGATGATTGGTAATGATAAGGGAAAGTGACCAAAAGTGGCTAGTATTGGAAGAGACAAGTTGAACCAAAAAGGAACAAAAGGGAGTGCCCAACGCACACACAACGTGCGTTGGGATGGCGTTACAAAATTCCAGAAACATCAACGCACACACAACGTGCGTTGGGTGGACGTTACAAAATTCCAGAAACTTCAACGCACCCACAACGTGCATTGGAGATACGCTGTAGACAGCCCCGAAACTTCAACGCAAGAACAACGTCCGTTGGAGCATCCGTTGACGCGAAACAAAAAGTTCAACGCATGTCCAACGTGCGTTGGACGCACAGAAATAGGGTTTTGGAAATAAAACCCTTCCAAACCCCTCATTCACCCATTCTTCTCTGCCCCCCCCCCCCCCCCCCCCCAACGCAAAGGAAAGCTCTCCAACGCAAGGTAGCCTCTTTTCTTCAACTTTCTTACATCTTTTGAAGCTTCAAATACCAAATTTCTAGCAAGATGTCTCAACAACAAAGAGGGTAATCATCTAAACCTTCAAAAACTCCATTAATGAAGTTCACGCTTTTTCGCTCTCATGGAAAATCCTTTGCTATATTCTTGTGTGAAGTTGGATGGTTGAAATTGCTAGAATCTAGGATAGCTGAGCATGATGAAGCATGATTTTGTGATTACTTTGTGATTCTATGATTGTTTGATGAAGTTGAATTCCATGCATGAACCCTAGGTTGTGAATTGGGGATTTGTAATTGAATTGCATGTATCTTCTATGCAGTGTGAAATTGATGATAGGAATTCATAATTGCATGCTTTCTAGGATCAATTGTGTATGATCTGATTGAATACTAACACTAGACCTTGATTTTGCACACACCACTTGTGAAATTTTCCTATTGTTGATTGAAGAAGATGAAGTCGACCATTTGACTTTGTTTGAATTAAGCAAATAATGTGAAATTGATGAACGTGCTATAATGTTAGTCTTCTTTGTCATAATTTTGTGAGGAAATTAACCAAAATAGGGGAGACTATGGCAAAAATTTTGTAGAATTTGGTCTTATTTTTTTTTCGAAAAAGTGAAAGAAAGGGGAATAAGTGCATGTGTTGTGATCTTTGTCTTGAAGGTTGATTGTTGTGAGCTAAATACTTTGTTACCTTTATGCATAATTGTGGAGAACGTATTTTCTTGAGCAAATGTAAGACCCTTCAAGAAGAAAAGAAAGGAGATGGCTAGGAAAGCCAAGCATGATCCCGCAAGTTCAAGCTGTCAACAAGCATACGTGAGAGCACAGAGGATGAGTGGATGGAAGAGGATGAGCAAGAGGAAAGGAGCCAAGTGGCTAGAACAAGAAAGTTAAACCTCAATGTCGTACAACTTGCGAAGGTGGAAGAGTTGAAAGAACTTACAATATCGGGAGGAAAGTACTTTGACATGCCACTTCTCGATTCGTTTGGATGTCGGGAGGAAGTGACCCGCATGATCAATCATCCTCTGTGGAGGCAATCTTCAACATGCGAGGGCAACATATATGCCCCGGTGGTCTATGAATTTATAGCCACATTGGACATTCAAAAGACAAGATTCCATGACAACAAGTCCATTACCTTCACAATCTTTGGGAAAGAACACAAGTTATCGGTGAATGAATTGGGACGCTATATGGGAGCCTATGATGAAGAGGAGATCAACTCGGAGTATTTTGCACTGACTTTTACACGGACCAAGATATGAGAACATTTTGGAGGGAGATTCCGGATGGTATAAACTTCAACGCCCAACCACACAAACCCGAAGGCCATTGAGCTAAATGAGATGAAGGCCATTAGATATTCTCTAGCGGTCACATTCACCGGGAGAAAGAGCAATATACACAAGGTGTATAAGTCCGATTTGTTCGACTTGTGGAACATGAGCAAGGGCATTGACATCAACATGGGGGTGCAAGTCAAGAAATGGCTTAAGGCATAGTGCACCGAGAGTTGCCCTATTATCTTCATTGGCCCCGTACTCACAAAGATAATTTATGGCTTAGGTTTGCAGGCAAACACTACAAGAAAAATCGTTAATCACGACGAAAACATTGCGACAGAACGTAATTCGTTGCCGATTTGCAACGGTTTTTGTGACAGAATGTGTTCCATTGGAATTTTGCGACGGAAATGGTGACAAAATTCAATTCCGTAGCGATTTTTGGCGCAAAGTGAGTAAAATCTCAAGAAACTTTGGCGCCCACATTTTGGTGACAGATTTTGCGATGGAATTAAGTTCCGTCATCATAGTGGCGACAGAAAAGGCAACAGTCGATAATTTACGTCGCGATGTTGCGACATAATCGGCGACGATAATGAATTCCGTTGCGATATTTAGCGCAAAGTGGAAAATACTCCCACATAATCTTTTTGCCAATAAATTGACGACGGAGGGTTACGACGGAAATTGCGACGGTTATTTTTTCCGTCGTGAAAATATTTTGTTTTTGAGTAAAGTTTATTTTCGCTACAGAATGGGACAACAGATTCAATTTCATTGCAAAATGTTGACATATTGGCGACAGAAAATGCGACTCCCTACATGTCTGTCGCGATATGGCAATGGTATTGGCATCGAAAATTAATTCAGTTGTGATGTTTGGCCCAAAGAGACATTTTGCGTTTGAGGTTGGCGAAGGAACTTGCGATGATCATTCTTTCCGCCGCAAAAATATTTAATTTTTTAAGAAAAGTTTATTTTCGCTATAGAATAGGACACGAAATCAATTCCGACAAAATCAATTCCGTCACAATATGTTGACACATTGGCGACAATAAATGCGACGGCTTACATGTCCGTTGCGCTATGGCGATGAAATCGGCAACGAAAATTAATTATTGTGTGATGTTTGGCACAAAGAGAGATTTGACGTTTGAGATTGGCGACGAAACTTGCGACGATCGTTCTTTTCGTCTCAAAAATATTTAATGGTCGAATTTTATACAAGGTTTGGTATTAAATTTGGGAAATTTTCAAAATTAGATGAATATTTTAATTTACGCATGAATTCATATGTTATAACTAAATTGCATAATTTTTTTAATCACTATTTTACAACATCATTAAACTTATTATAATAATGTCAATTTTAACAAAAAATAATTTAAGTTTTATTGTCTAATCAATATTGCTTTTAGAAGATTTAATTTATTTTAATATAAAAAATTTGTTAGGACATCATTTCTTTACTACTACTTTTACTATAAGTTTAAAATACTCATTTTAATTATATCGAAAATAATCGTTTTTGTTTTATATTAATTATTTAATATTTTAAAGATTACTAAACATTTACATATTTTAACTTTTGTGTTAGATATTAATTTAATCGCGCAATTTACGCATTTTAACTAGTGTGTGTGTGTATAAACAATTCACTTAACCGATCTCTTAATTATGTTAATTAATTCTTTATAACCAAACCATTGATAACTAAAATTTTTAAAAATCTTTAACCGTTAATCGAACTAAAATATTTTGTTTAAAAATTTATTAAACGAATTTTTGGGTTCGAGCGTTTAACAATTTTCACTGGTTATACGCAATCCTAAAAATAATAATTAAAATTTGTGAGAATATTTAAATAAAAGAAGATTTTGATGATACCCAAATATGATAAATAATTAAATAATTAATTTTCTCAAATATTTGGGAGGTATATTTATTATAATCATTAATCTAAAATGGCATAGTTTTTAATATATATATATATATATATATATATATATATATATATATATATATATATAGTAATTTTAAAAACTAATATTTTGATAATTAAAATTTAAAATTCAAACCCAAAATCTTTAATTCATAAAATCAAAATTAAAATTTATACTTAACGACAATAATTTTAAATTTTAAATTTTAAATTTCAAAATTTCCACCTTCTTCTCAATTTTAAATTTCAATTCAAATTATAATTTTTTTAAATTAAAAGAAAACAATCTTATATATAGTTTTTTTTCTTAATAATGTTTTCTTAAAAAATGACATTATGACATCATATTTTTTTTCTTTTAATTATATATATATATATATATATATATATATATATATATATATATATATATATATATATATATATATATATATATATATATATATATATATATATATATATAGCCGAAGGTAGGCTTGGTGACTTGAGCATGCGAGTTGCTATATTTGGGATGGGGTTAATGAAGCTCGACCGTCGTCATGTAATTAATCGGCTGACAGCCGATATCAGGCCAAAATACTTCAGGAAAAGATATACTTATTCATTTTATGATGTTTGAGGAATCTGGCGGGCATTTTGAAACACTCGATCGGACCTATTTTGATTAACGAATATATCTTACCTCTATGGTTGAAGTTAAATGGGCAGTAAACACTTTAGTGAAAAAGATATGTTTGGCAAATATAGTTAGGTGACGAAAAACAAATTAAAACTTCACCTAAGCTGGTAGGCATTCTGATTAACGAACTAAAAGGGAAGAGGTCTTTAGTACCTTTAACCACATAGGTAAGATCATGTGTTGTGGCATTTTTTATAGTTAACTGTTACATTTCAAAGCTATTATTTATATTTAAAAAAAAAATTTCTTTTAATTTTTAAAAATAATAATTAAAATAATTTTTTATATATAATTTGACATTATGACATCATATTTATGGGAAACATGGAAGTAACCTGTAAAAAATGATATTTGCACAAATTTTGAATGTTTAATGGTCTAATTGCACTTTTTTTTTTATTCAATGATTCAATTGTATGTGAAAAAG